ATCTTGCCTCAGGTGCTTGTTAGTTGTGTGACCTTGGGCCAGTCATTTAAATTCCCTGGGTGTCAGGCTCCTCATTTGTCAAATGGCACGGCTGGATTAGGTGGCCTCCGAGTACCTTCCAGCCCTACATCTCTCACCCTATGAGTTTCTTTACAGGTTGGAATGGGCATGTCCATTGTCTCTGGGCCCATCCCACTGTGTGGGGGACATCCTTAGTCAGCCTCCCCCCTTTATGCCTGCCATTCATATGAGGATCAGCTGGAGGAATCAGGGATGTTTAGAACACTCAGGACACAGGAGATCTGTCTAAAAGTACTTGAAAAAAACTATCTCATGTGGGACAGTGATTAGATTTGTTCAGAGGATGGAACTAGGACCAGTAAGTGGAATTTGCAGAGAGACAAATTTAGCTTGATGTAAGGAAAAATTTCCTGACAGTGAAGAACAGTCTGAGAGCTGCTGGAAATCATGTATGTAGAGTGCTTTTGCAAACCTTACAGCTCTATACAAATGTCAGATAATATCAACGGGCTCCCCTCCATCAGAGGCTCTCACACAAAGGCTGTGTCAGATGTCCTTAGCAGTTAGGTGATGCAGTGGATAGAGTCCTGGGCCGGAAATCAGGAAGACCTGAGTTCAAACTGAGCCTCCCAAGTGACCTATGGAAAGCCACTGAACCTCTGTTTGCCTCAGTTTCCTCATTTGTAAAATGGGCATAATAATAGGACCTATCTCCTGGGATTTTTGTGAGGATCAAATGAGATAATGATGTAAAGTGCTTAACACAATGCCTGGTACAGGCATTATATAAATGGTAGGCGGTAGTAGCACTAGTAGTAGGAGGAGTAGCAATAGTGGCAGTAGTAGCAGCAATAGAAGTAATAGCAGTGGAAGTAGTAGTAATAGCAGCAATAGTAATAACATTAGCAGTGGTAGTAGTGGTATAATAGTAGCAGAGGTAACAGTAGTAGTACACATCAAGGAGCAGGACACATCAAGCAGTAGTAGTGGTAGAAGCAGCAATAGTGATAGTAGTAGTGGTATAATAGTAGTCGTGGTGATAGTGGTAGTAGCAGCAGCAGCAGTGGTAGTGATAGGAGTAGTGCTGTAATAGTAGTCGTGGTGATAGTGGTAGTAGCAGCAGTAGTAGAAGTAGCAGTAGTACTAGCTGTCATCATTGTCCTAGTATACCGTAGTGAGGATTCCTTTTCACATATGTGTTAGAAGAGGTGGCCTCTGATGGGCCATCCCTTCTGATTCTGAGATTCCTTCTCTGTCTTCAAACATAATGTTGCATCTTCCTTTATGTCATACTGAAGCCATATCCATAAGCATTGCTCTCAGTGATTTGGTTTGGGATGATGGTGGTATTGATCATTAAGGGGATGGGGAAAAAAACAAGCATTTATCAAGTGCCTTTTATGTGCCAGGCACCATACTAAACACTTTACCAATTTTGTCTCATTTGATAATATTTAGTGAAGCAGGTGCCCAGTCGTCTCTTTTCCCATTCCTCTTAGACATTCATCAAGGAGCAAGCCCTGAGGCACAGGTATTCTCAGAAGCATATGATATGTTTCCAATCCTTTTGACCTCTAAGTGCTTCTCAAGGGTGTTTTGGGGCATGGCATTAGCTTATCCATTAACAGTTTAGGGACCCTCTGTTTGGCCTCATTAAAAAATAAGACTGCCTCTAACACACACAAAAAAGAAGAAAGTGTCCGAGACTAATCCTCAAATCAGACCATTGCCAGATTGATAGAATAAACCAGGCTTTCTGTTGATGCCTTTATTACCTCTCAATCACTTGCCACCTCGTAGAGCCAAGTGATAAATAACCACTGTAGGGTGGCTAGTTTGTGTTCTATAGGAACCCAGAAGTGAGAGTAGAATTTAAGAACTTAAGGTCCATGAGATCCAGGACTGTTTTTCTTTGGTCTTTCTACTCCCAGCGCATAGCATAGGATCTGGTACGTAGCAGATGTTTCATAAATGCTTATAGACTGATTGAGGAGGAGGAAGAAAGCCACTAGTGAGACAGGTCTTGGGGACAGCTAGGTGGCACAGTGGATAGAGCACTGGCCCTGGATTCAAGAGGACCTGAGTTCAAATCTTGCCTCAGACACATAACACTTACTAGCTGTGTGACCCTGGGCCATTAACCCCATTGCCTAGCCAAAAATAAATAAATAAATAAGAGAAAGGTCTTAAATGTCAGGCTAAGAAGTTTTGCGTTTTATCCCAGAGGCACTGAAGGAGCCCTTGAAGGTTTTAAAAAGAGTGAGGGATTGAGATAGCGCTTCAAGGTTTACAAAGTCTTTGCCTCCCAATAGCCCTGGGAAGTAGGTAGTGAAAGTATTATCCCATTTTGCCGATTAGGAAACTGTGACTCAGAGAAGTTAAGGAGCCTGCCCAGAATCACTCAGTGAAATCTAGATTCAAACCCAAGTCTCTTGGTTCCAAATCCATACCTCTTTGTACTACACTAAATTCCCTATACAAAATATATAGCGTAAACTCTAAGTGCTTTAAGGAGGCTAGAGAGGACAGATAGATACTATGGGCAGTTGTATCTGGTCTCATTTGAAGGGGCAGAATGTAAAGCTAGAAGACTGGAATGCTTACACACTTACAGAAACATGTTGAATATTACCTTGACTGATGTCATAACATTAACATTCTATGGGCAGTAATTTCCCAGGAATTGTAAGTTGTAGAAATGTCCAGGGTGGGACAATTGATGTGTGCTCTGCCCACTTCATTCCTGTACCTCTATACACCAAGACTATACCAAAGGTGTGCTGGTAAATGTTTGACAGCTGTGTACACAGGATGCATCAAGCCCTGACTTGTAAACTTCTAAACTCCTGATTTCAGAGGTATAAATGCTCACCCTGAAAATTTAACAGTCTTTCTGGCCCATTCTGTCCCACTCCTTTGTGCCCAGTCCTGATACCCACTTTCCTCACCTAATTATTCATTACCTGCTATAGCCATGAATGGAAAATCACTGTAGGAACCACCCTGTACATGCTCTCACATGCTGCATTCTTCCAAAACTATTGGACTTGAGAGGATACTGTAGATGATATTGTGATTCAGACATCCTTGGCTGGGAAGCCAGGATAAATGGTCTTCCCATCAACTAGGAATAGAGACCTGGGAAAGATCTTAATTTAGAAAGGCCAGGGTCCTCTGGTACATCCCAGGCTCCTTTGGACTCCTGTGATTCTGGAGGAGAAAGTGAGGCTGATGACTTTGCACAGCTCTGCCTCACTTAAATCCAATTAAGCCTCATGACATCATTGGTCCTCTTCATGAATGAAAGATCAACAACAACAATAGGTTGAAAATAGAAAAAGTCAAAGTGAATTGGTGGATACTGCAATCACTACTCGTGTTTCTTTCCCAAAAACCTCCTGCAGAAATGGCCCTAGTTAAGATTGGGAACAAGTCACAAGAGATTACTTTGTCAAGTGGGTACAATGTAATGGGATTTTTTATTATTATTATTTACGATTCCTGAGAGCAAGGCGGATATTCAGACCAGATAGGACATGTGAGAATGTTGGGTAGTAACTAGAGGTTATCATTGTGATGGGATTTCTACATCCTGGCTGGTTACTGGAAAAAATATAGAATTTAAAGCTTAATTTGTCACCAGTTTATCAGAGAACTGGGCTCTTGGACATGTGCTGTTCTATCACTGGTTGCCAGCACCAAACCTTATCTGACTTCCTACCCCTTTCATTGTAGAATAGAGCTGTCTGTCTGGTTGGGTTTTCTCATTTTTGGGTCTCTCCAGAATCTGCTCTTGGGTGCCTGTGTGCCAGTTTTGTGTGTTAACATTTATAACGTGAGCATGTTGGTTGCATTTATTTCCTGTGTGAATAATACTGAAAAGCTAAGCACAAGCTCCTCAGAATGCTTCTCAGCCAAAATAGCACATTCTTTTCATTTATTCTGGGAGTGTGTAGCAGTGAAGGTTTTCAATGGATATGTTGCTTAAGTAATGCATTGGCATGTTTTCCTTCCTGCTCCCTTTCTTCCTCCATTGAGCTAACTGCTTCAGCTGATCCTGACCAGCATTTTGCAGTCTTTCTTTTACAACTTAAACACAATTCAATACAATCTCATGGTATTCTCTGTTTGTTGCATGTGGGTGCACGTCATCCCCACAGAGCTAGACTGTAAGCTACCTGAGCCCAGAGCTTGTGCCTTATGTTACTTCTATAGCCTCTTCCCCACCTCAGCATTTAGCAACATGCAGGTGTTGAAAATAGCTTCAGTTGATGGACTGGTTGACTGATCTGTGGCATCTTGGACCCCTTTGGTGAAAGGATAGGGTAATGAAGCCAGAGAGGGCCTCAGAGGATGGGTAATTACAAACAGGTGGGGGGAATGAGTAACAAGGCCTGTCAGAAGGGCTCTGTGGTGGTAGTGGTGTGGGGATGGGGGAAGGGAGATGGGGGATTGTTCCTGAAGGGGTCCTTTGTCTGGGAGTCAGAGATTAGGTTGCAGCCCATTGTGCCAACTGATTCCCAGGGTAGGAGTGGGGCCCATGGGGGAAAAAGCAGAACAACTCAAACAGTGAAAGGCTATAGCATGAGCAAGTCTAGTGGTGAGTCTTTTTCTTGGAATCTCCTCAGCATGATGTAGCTTGGTTTTCGAGCCAGCTAGCTGCCATCCCCAAATGGCAGCTGTCAGCCAGCTTCCAGCTCAGGAGATATCTCATAAACATCTCAGACTGTTTTAAAGATGCTGATATCGATTTGTTTGCTTCCTTTGTATTCTTTTTCCCAGAGTTTTATTAGTGAAACACTGGGAAACCTCTCAAGCATGTCATAACCTTGAAGTGTTATTCTGCCTGGGATGTTTCTCCTCTCTTAGACTTCATGCCCTTGCCCGGCCAATGTAACCCCTCTCTTCCTCTCTCCTTCTCTCTCCTTTTCCCGTTTGTTGGGGAGAGGCTGGAGAGGGGGCTCTGTTGTTCCCTGCAGAACAAAGAATTCAGGAGCCTGACAGAGCAGCTGTCCACGGTGACCTCTGCCCACAACATGGAGATGGAGAAGCTGAAGAAAGAACTGAAGAGATACCAGGAGAGCCAGGGTGGGGATGACAGCCAGCGGCTGAGTCTCCAGGAGGAGATTGAGAGCCTCCGGGCAGAGCTGCAGAAAGCCCACTCAGAGAGGAAGATACTCGAAGACATCCACACCCAGGAGAAAGACGAGCTGACAAAGGTAGGGCAAGACCCACAGGAACAATCCTGACTGCTGGGGCAGCCGAGAAACCATGGCCCCACAGAGGCCACACCTCCCCTAATTTCTCCCTCTGTGTATGAGGATTATGGGAATTACCTGGGTTGCTTTGCTGAGTGATAACTGGGGTGACAAGGATGGCCAGACTGATCTGCATTCCCCTGCTTCCAAATAAGACCCTGGCAAAACCAGCCAATACAAGTGAGACTGAGACTCTATTCCTAGGGACCCTCTGTCAGAATGATCACATTGACTAATCATATCCTGTTCATGGGAGACACTGTTTTGTTTAAGTGAATTGAAAGCATGTCCTGGTTCTGTCTTTGACAGGGAGATTCCTTGACATGAACCTCAAAGTTTAGGTATATTCCCCCAATATCCTGGTTACCTTTAATAGGCATGGTCTGGCTATCCACTTAGGTTATCCCTAAATCCCTTTTGAAGCTATTTTCAGCCCTTAGGATAATGGGCCTGTATATTTAAGTAGAACTTTATTTGATTTTTGTTTTCACATTAGTTCTCAAAAGATCTGAGTGCAGAGGTATTTATCTCCAGCACCTAGGACTGAAATAAGTTAGGCCTTCCCTCTGCCTCATTCCTCCTAACAGAATTCTTCATCTTCACCATGACATTGTCAATACCTCTACTCTCCTTTTCCCCAAGTCTAACTACTGCTCTGCCTCTCTTCTCTTCACAGTCTTGACTTTATAGCCAGCCAGTTATATAATATCCCCCCTTTGACTTCCTTGCCCCCTTTGTCCAATAAGCATTAATGTCCTGCCAGTCCTCTCCCCCACCACAATACAAGGCCACTGAACAGAGTTTCCAAGAACTACGGCCAGTTACTGCCTTCTGTTACCTCTGAGATGACCCACACCAGTTACCTCCCAAACAGCCTCACCCTGTTGTAGCATAGGCTACAGGAGTAGCCAGGGCTTAGGACTGTTCATAATTGGGAAAAACAAGACTTTCAGCATATATGAGGCATGAGATGTATTGTGAGACCTAGGAAAACCCAGTCTCTACTCTGCCACAAATTGTGTGACTTTTGTCATTATTTAAGTTCCTGGGATTTCAGTTTCCTTCACTGTGAAATGAGACTAGGTGATCCTTATGGTCCCTTCTAGCTGTGAAGCAACATAGTCCTATGACAGTCTGCATTTCTGTACTGAAACTACTTCATAGACATAAACATTGCATGAGATAGCTTCAGTTTTCTTGGTTGAAAGATTAGGCCTTTTATTACCTTATTACCCAGGTGTTGGGTCTTCTCTCTCATTGATTGCTTCATTTCCATTACCCTCCTTTCTCTTCTCTTCCTTCTCCTTTTCCGGTCCTTCAAATATAGCATAGAAATAACTCCATGCTCCCAATTCCAGGCAGATCTCCAAGAAGATGCCACGGTGTCCTTGGTGCACAATCAGCATCCTCTAGCCATAATTCTGATAAAGTATCCTTGGTGCTTCCCAGTGAACAGTGATGGGGGAGGAAGAGAGAAGAAACAGAATCACTCAGGAGGTTTCCCAAAGGGGCCAGCTAGGTGGTATGGTGGATAGAGCTTTGGACCCAGAGTCAACAAGCCCTGAGCTCAAATCTGGCTTCAGGCACTTAATAGCTATGTGACCCTGGACAAATCACTTAACCTCTCTCAGCCTCAGTTTCTTCATCTGTAAAATGGGTTAATGATGTTATTTATATCCTAGGGTTATTGTGAGGATAAAATGAGGTAATATTTGTAAAAGCACTTTTTAAACCTTAAAGCACTCTATAAATGCTAACTATTATTATTATATGCAGGTGGCTGCCAACCCAGTATGATTTGAAGGCCACTATAAGGCTTCCTTGCTGCCCAAGCTGGTACCTTCCCCACTTAACAAGGTGCATGAAATTCCCACTCTCAAAGCCACTTTGGGATAAAGCAATATGCTTCCGGAAGACCCTTGTTCAAATGTTCAAGGGCATGTTTAATTTCCAGTGTGCCCCATGCCCAGAACACAATATACCTTCCTTAATAAATATTCAAGCATGAATAGGAAGAGGAGCACTAGTTGATTTTGGTGTCAGAGAGCTGGGTTCCCCTCTTGGGTCCTCAGTTTCCTTCTGTGGAAAATGAGCTAGTTGGACTAGATGACTTTGGAGGCCCATTCCAGCTTCAAATCCTGTAAAATAAGGATCACACATTCATCTTAGGGTGATCCAATGACCTGTACTGTAGTCAGAGGGACTTAAGTTAAATAGAAAGATTAATTTGCTGAAAGATCAAATGTTAAGCTTTGGAACAAGCTACTGAAGGTAGGGTGAAGCAGGAGATCTCTATCCCTGGAGCCCTTTAATAGGTAAGGCAGATAACCACCTGCCATGGCTAATTAACAGGGGGCTACATCTGCCTAACAGTTCTGGAAAGGGGAAAGTAGGGGTCAGTGACTGGATATCATAATCCCTTGGGTCTCCACCCAACTCCAAGGTTCTTATCAAGACAGTTGGACAAGAGAGTATTTTCTGGGCATCTGTTCCTTTTCTACTAGATTCTCCCATTGCTTTGTACTTTCTCCCTAAAGAAATACCTTCCCAGACTCCTTGGCTCTTTCCTTTTTGATCTGTGAAGAAGAGTCATGGACTTGATGCCTTGTGCCCTGTTACTGTTTTGTGTTGAATGAAAGGGAGAATCAGGCTGGCCCCTGGCAAAGGAGGTAGCTCATTAACCAGGATCAACCCCTGAAGCCCAGCTCTGAAGGGAGCTTTGTATGGCAGGTCCCTATGAAGCCAAGAAACAGGTATAGGAAAGCTTCTCCACACCTCATCCCCACCTCTCCTCTCGATTTCCTGGCTTGGCTTGTGGCTCCCACCTGGGAGGCTAGGAGGAGGAAATGTTTGTTCTGTGACTAAGCCTTTCTGAGAGAGGAGAGGGTTCTGTTAATCACCTCAGTGAACACATACACATAAGGAGTGAGACAAAAAGAAGGGGCTTTCCCAGGAGTCGGATCACCTGCCTTTTTAGACCCTACCTTAGGAGAGCAGTATATGTGGAGTGAGTACTGACCGGAGGATAGGGGACAGGAGTAAAGTGGCCTTGTTTCTGGGTGGAGTGAATAAATGCTGTTGACTGCCAGTTCCCCACAACATAAGCAGAGGCAAATACCTGAATCAGTCAGACTTTTTTGTTGTTGTTAGGGGGAGGAAAGGGAAGGAACAGAGGTGATCTATATATGCTTCTTTCCTTCCTCTTCCTTTACTTTGGCCTATATGTGGGAGATGGATTAGAAAAGGGAAAGACTGGAAGACACTAGTCAGGATATTACAATAGACAAGAGGGAGAATGAGAAGAGTGTTGCTTGTGTGAACATAGAAATAGAAGTGAATGAGATGAAGTTAATAAGACTTAGCATCTGGCTCAATATGGGAGTAATGGAGAGACAAGAGTCATGATTACTTCATTTTTTCTTCACATCCCCTCCACCTATTACATTTGCTTGCTCATAGGATAGGGATAGGGACTGGACCAGTGATTTCATTTGTATGGGGAACTTCCAGATGTGGATACTCTCTCTTCCAAAGCAAGTTGTCACCTTTGTTGCTAATCATAGTCTTAAAGAGTTACCTAGAGTATTGAGATAGAGCATCAGGTCTGGAGTCAGGAAGACTCATCTTCCTGAGTTCAAATCTGGCCTCAGATACTAGCTATGTGATGTGTGACCCAGGGCAAGTCACTTAACCCTGTTTGCCTTATCTGTAAAATGAGCTGGAGATGGAAATGGCAAACCACTCTAGTATCTTTGCCAAGAAAACCCCAAATAGGATCATGAAGAGTCGGATACAACTGAAAAGTAACTAAACAACAACAGAGCACTGAGAGGTTAATCTACCTACCCAGAGTTACATAACCAGTATGTGTCAAAGTCAGGGCTGAACCTCAATTCTTCTTGGCTTTGAAGTCAGCAACGCTGTCCACCAGGCCATGCTGCTGCTTCTTCCGGCATACAATATTTGCTTAATGAATTTTTGTTGAATTGAATTGAACTTAATTGACTTGCATGTGAACCTGTGAGTTTGATTCACTGACTCCAAAATAACCCTGAAAAATCCATATCCAGAGGGTTCGTGAGTATAATTTATTACTATTTTTAACAACTTGCCTGTCTTCTGCAGGCATATACCAATTTACAAAGTTAAAATCAGCATTATTTACTCATGTGCTCACCTGAAATAGTTCCTTCTCCTAAGTGGGCCAGTAGTTATTCACGGAGTCATTCTAAAAGAATTAAAGAAGAACCATTATTTCAGGCAAGCCAAGCTTCTGGATTTCTGCCAGATGTTTGGGCCATCAAAAAAGGGTAATGGGATAAAGGTGTTTGCCTAGAGAATAGTAACAGCTAACATGCAAAAAGCACCTCGAGATTTAAAAAGTATCTGCATATATCATCTCATTTGATCCTCACATTAGCCCTGTGAGGGTAGGTGCTGTTATTATTCTCATTTTGCAGATAAAGAAACTATTAGAAGAGGGAAGTGACTTACCCAGGGTCATGCAGCTAGTGAGGAACTGATCGAGGATTCTTGTTCATCAAATCCTGATTTAAGTCCACTGTTGTATCCATCTCTGCCCCTTTGCTGAGCAAATAAGAAGTTCTAATGCCAGTTTTTCCACGAATAACTCCATATTATTCACACATACATATAAACAGCTCTTCTGACTGGAGGGAACCTTAGAGGTCCAGCCATGTCATTCTGTAGATGAGGAAACTGAAGCCACGTTGGTTAAATGACTTAACCCAAGGTCATCTGGCTAGTAAGTGGCAGAACTGAGATTCAAGCCTAGGTCCTCTGACTTCCAATCCAGTGTCCTTTCTACTGCACCACACTGCCTTCCCTAATACAAGAAAGGCGGTGAATGTGTGAGAAGAAAACCACAAAGGCTTCAAGGAAGTGGCATCACAGCCAGCCTTGAAGGACAGTTAGTAATTAGAAAAACAGAGCTGAGAGGA